AAGGAGGAGGATTGGCAATAGATGTTTGCTCAGAGCCGGTCTTCCTCAGCAAAAAGAGGAGGATTAGCATGGATGTTAGCTCGGGGCTGATCTTCCTCACAAAAAAAAAAAAAAAGAAAGAATTTGACAGCACAAATACAAAACTGGATTCAGATATTTAAACCATGTTTTCCCACTTGTGCATGTAAGAACAGACCAGTCTTCCTAAGATCAATAAAGTTTCCATCTATCACTTTTCTTGAAGGGCCACACTGCTGTCTTATTAAAGAAAGAATAATATAACAAAAAAGGCTTCAGGAAGTCATGTGTTTAGTCACCAATATTCCATACTCTAAGGTGTATGTAAATCAGCAGGATACAGGGCCCTTTCCCCATCTTCAGGCACCTTCCTTATCCTCCAAAAACATTTCCAAAATGGGATGTAAGCATCCTGCAGTTTGTTCCTAAGCTTCCTGCTGTTCCTAAGTTCCAGGAGCAGGCTTGGGCCCCACAACTTGGACACTGCTGGCGTATTAACTGTCACCAGCTTTTAACAAGCGCTATCACTACCACAACTTGCTCTGCTTCCCTCCACCCCCTTCTGTTCGTGTTTGCTTTTTCTGGTTCACAGCAGGTTTCTTTTTTTCCAGTGAATATTGAGGTTAAAAAGTCCATGACTCTGTCATCAATTTCCCCTCTGCATCTAATAATAGCACCTTCTTTTTATGTCTCTTTCCAATTCAAAAAGTACTGAGCTGTACTTCCCTCCTGCCAATTATGTGGGGAGGTGGCTATATTTCCTTTCCTGCATTAGTTTTTTTCTCTCTTGAGAGTCTCTATTATTTTATACTACTTTTGGTAGAGTGGATAGCTTATATTGATGGATTCCCCTTTAGAATTGTCCACTTAAGGGTAACCTGAAGGTATAACAGGGGAAGTGAGTTAAATTTTAAAGCATCATTCTACCTTATAAAGGCCAGAAATAGAGGGGAGGGGGTGTTTACCATGAACAGGTCAAAACATAACCTGAGAATTCCTTCCAGGCAGAGCAATTTTTTCTCATTCAATTCGTTTTGTTTTGTTTTGTTTTGTGAGGAAGATCAGCCCTGAGCTAACATCCATGCTAATCCTCCTCCTTTTTTTTCCCCAAAGCCCCAGTAGATAGTTGTATGTCACAGGTGCACATCCTTCTAGTTGCTGTATGTGGGACGTGGCCTCAGCATGACCGGAGAAGCGGTGTGTCAGTGCGCGCCCGGGGTTCCGAACCTGGGCCGCCAGTATCGGAGCGCACAAACTTAACCGCTAAGCCACGGGGCCAGCCCTCATTAAATTCTTCGATTAAAATAATGTAAAGAATTTCTAATTATTAGGAGCAGGCTTAAAATAACGATGAAGAAAAAGCTAGACAGTTCTAAACAGATGATCACGTCTTCTCCGTTCAACTCGTAAGTATGTATTGATCTGTGCCAATCAGACAATTCTTTCCTCTTCTTTATAGAATACAAGGGGCCACACCACCAACAGAACATTAGAAAGGTTAATATCTGCAGGGCAAAAAAAGTATTTGTATGGTATTTATCACCACAAGGTAATGCTGTATGTCTTAGAAATGACAAAGGCATTCATTCATTACTAACCACCTACATGAAGCTAAGTGTTGGGAATATGTAATACTAAAAACACACACGTGTCCTGCCCTCAAAAAGACTTACAGAGGCCGGCCCTGTGGCTTGGTGGTTAGGTGCGCGCGCTCCGATGCTGGTGGCCCGGGTTCGGATCCCGGGCGCGCACCGAGGCACCACTTCTCCGTCCATCCTGGGGCCAAGTCCCACATACGGCAACTGGGGGGATGTGCAGCTATGACATGCAACTATCTACTGGGGCTTTGGGGGAAAACATAAATAAATAAAATCTTTAAAAAAAAAAAAAAGACTTACAGAAACCCACGGCTCTGTTACAGTATAGAACTGATAAAACAGTTTCAGGTTCAGACAAGATTCCGTGAATACGTGTTGATCCTGTAACTAATACTATCACCCAAAATTTAAATTCAATTGGCAACATCCTTTAAAGGAATTCAGACTACTCTTGCTACAGAATAGTATTTTCATTTCAAGTTTTCATCACAATTCAAGATTTGAGAGCAGGATGAGGATGATCTAATCAAAGTTATCCATCGCCTCTACAGTTTCTGGGCAAAAATGGTCAACCATTTATAGGCAGCTCCAAGAGTGGAAAACTTTTCCCTATAAAATATTAAATAACACGTTCAACCACACCCATCCCAGCTAGGGAAGGAGTCTGGTGTCCACTCATAAACCCAGCTTCCCAAGACCTGGAATCTCCTAGTAAGTACAAACGGCACCAAGAGACATCAAACAGAAGTGTTTTACTGGTTTACACTGAGCTAATGTAAATAAGCTCGCTCTACTGAATTCTAATATAGATATGGAATCAATTAAGATAACTATGTCTCAAGACTGGGGCAAGACCACCTGAAAATTCTTTCTGGGAAATGCTAAATTTTGGTATGCCTGCTTAGGAGAGAACGGTCTGCAGAAATGAAGTAATGATTTCCTAAACTGCAGATCCCTCTGATCTGTTCTTTAGTTCTTCTACCAGGAAAAAGAAAATCTACCATGTCTTGAGTGGTTATCATCTGCTAGGCTCAATGTTAAGAGCTTTAAAAGCATTGTCCAATTTACTCCTGACATTCTCTGGAATAGACATCATCATGTCCATTTACAGACGGAGAAACTGAAGCTGAGAGAGGTTTAAAAATTGGCCCAAGTATTTTATTCTTTTTGGTGCTATTGTAAACGGGATTGTTTTCCTAATTTTCTTTTCAGATAGTTCACTGTTAGTGTACAAAAATGCACCTGATTTTTGTTGATTTTGTATCCTGCAACTTTGCTAAATTTGTTTATTAGTTCTAAGAGTATTTTTGTTAGAGTCCTTAGCATTTTCTATGTATAAGATCATATCTGCAGGGGCCGGCCCCAAGGCATAGTGGTTAAGTGCGCGCGCTCCGCTGCTGGCGGCACACGTTCAGATCCCGGGCGCGCACCGACGCACCCCTTGTCAGGCCATGCTGTGGCGGCGTCCCATACAAAGTGGAAGAAGATGGGCATGGATGTTAGCCCAGGGCCGGTCTTCCTTTGCAAAATGAGGAGGATTGGCAGCTCAGGGCTGATCTTCCTCACACCACACCACACACACACACACACACACACACAATAAATATTTTTAAAAAAAAAAAGATCATGTCTGCAAACAGGGACAATCCTACTTCTTCCTTTCCTATTTAGCTGCCTTTTATGTCTTTCTCTTGCCCGATTGCTCTGGCCAGGACTTCCAGCACTGTGTTGAACAAAGTGGCAAGAGCAGACATCCTTGCCTTGCTCCCGATCACAGTGAGATGTCACCTCATACCTGTGAGGGTGGCTATTATCAAAAAAACAAAAGACAAGTGTGGGTGAGGATGTGGAGAAACTGCAACCCTTGCACACTGCTGGTGGGAATACAAAAGGGTGCACCTGCTACGGAAAACAGTATGGAGGTTCCTCCAAAAATTAAACCTAGAACTACCATACGGTCCAGCAATCCCACTTCTGGGGGTTTATCTAAAAGTATTGAAATCAGGATCTCGAAGAGATACTAGCACTCCCACGTTCTTCAGTGAGGCACGATTAACAAAAGCCAAGAGGTGGAAACAACCTAAATGTCCCTGGGCAGGTGAGGGATAAGCCAAAGACGGTACATACACTGAAAGGAATACTATTCAGCCTTAAAAAGGAAGGAAATTCTGGCAAATGCTACATCATGGATGAACCTTGAGGACATTATGCTGAGCGAAATAAGCCAGTTACAGCAAGACAAATGCTGCATGATTCCACTTACATGCGGTATCTAAAATAGTCAAACTCGTATAACTAAAGAGAGGAATGGTGGTCCCCAAGGGCTGGGGGTAGGGGGGACGGGGAGTTACTAATTAACAGGCATCAAGTTTCAGTGAAGCAAGATACGCTCTTGAGATGTGCTGTACAACACTGTACCTACACGACATCGCACACTTAAAAGCTTGCTAAGAGGGTAGATGTCATGTTAACTGTTCTTACCACACAAAAATAATTCTTTTAAAAAAATTGGCCCAAGGACTCAAAGCCATTTCTAACTGACGCTCAAATCCTTGCTCCGACTTAACCACAGAAGCTGCCCCGGGGCCAATTAAAAGGTCCTGACAGCGTGCTCTCCCAGCTGTGTGACGTTGGGGAATTCGCTTAACAGCTCTGGGCTCGCATTTCCTCACCACCAAGATGAGTCTCAGCACAAAGGCAAGCAGCGCTGCCACCACCAAGTGACCGGTTTGCCGCCAACGCCGCGGACTGACCTCCCACGGCCATCCGCTGGACCGAGCGGAGCCCAGCGCCCCGGCGGACCACGCGCCTCAGCCCTGGCAGGCTGCGAAGGAAAAAGCAAAGCCCAGCCCCGCTGAGTCACCGTGACCCGAGAGAAAGGCCTCAGTATGACTAGCCCTCGGCCTCGTTTCCTAGGCAGCTGGACCGAGAACTCGGCTCACCTCCGGCCGGACTCGCGGGCTGGCACCTCCCCTTCACTCTGCGCCTCAGTCGCCATCTTAGTCAGCAAACTTCTTTCACCGCCCCACTTCAGGCCCCGCCCCCACACCTTTGGATTGGCTGAGATGTTTCCCGTTCTTCCATGCGATTGGGTAACTTGACCGCCCCTCCTCAACCCGCACACTTTCATGATATTATTGGTCTATTCAAATAATTAACCGTCATTGGTGCCCCCAGCCCTGGCGGAAAAGAAAAGGTGGGGGGCGTTGCAGTTTCCCAAAAGTGGGAGGGAGTTGTACATTAACCGTTCGGATTCCACCTTCTTTTAGGTTCACGTCAGAAACCCCCAGCCTAAGCTCAAATTTTGTCCTGATGTGTGAATCTCAGAATTACAGATGTGTTGAATTTGAAAGTGACGTGAAGAGTCACTCTCTAAAATGCAAGATTCGTCTTCTGTCTTGACACAGAGAGATACCTAGAAGAGTAGGTACAGAGCGGCAACCAAGAAGTCCTTACTCTGAACTGTCGTTGACATTAGCCGGCTTCCTTCAGACAGCCACACAGCACAGCGCTGGGTCACTTCTGCTTCCTTCCACCCGCTCCCTTCCGGCCTCCGGGAGAACACACAGTTTCCCTCTCTGGTCTGAATCACGGAACCAAAAGCTGCATAACTTGGGCCCTGGCTGAGCTTTATTCCTCAACGGTAGAAATAATCATAATTATGCTTGCCCTCCCTGCCTCACGGACTTCTGGTGAAGATCAACTGAGGCAACAGATGAGAGAACGTTGTAAACTTCAAGCATTAACTTTTGTTCTGTATTGTTGTTCTATGCCAGATTTTTCTAGGGATATTTGTTCTGTTGTTCTTTCTGATATACTTTCATCTGAGGTTCTCCCAGCACTGTCTTTCTCTTTCACTAAGCTCTACCCACGTGTTTCCATTTCTCAACAAACTCTTCCCTGCCTCAGAGCCTTTGCACGTGTTGCTTTTTCTGACTGGCCCGTTTTTCACTTTATCATCTTTCAGATCTCAGCTTAAATGTCATTGGTTCAGATGCCTTCCATGGCCCAACCGTATAAATCACTTCCCTCACTGAACTTTCACATACCACTCTGTACTCTTCCTTCAGAGCTCTTATCATAACGTATAATAATCATATAGTTGTTAGTGGGACCATTTGTTTCATGTGGGGGTTCCCAACTAGACTTCCTGCCACATGTGGGCAGAGACTATATCTATTTTGCTCCCGATGGCATCTGACATGTAATAGCCTTTCAATAAATATTTTTTGAACAAATGAATAAACAAGTCCTCAGACTATATTATCCAAATCAAAAATTGAATCACATATTGTAATAGATTATTTTAATGGATGAATTCATATTAAAAGTTTGATAAGGGCCGGCCCTGTGGCTTGGTGGTTAAGTGCGCGCGCTGCGATGCTGGTGGCCCGGGTTCGGATCCCGGGTGCGCATCGAGGCACCACTTCTCC